AATGGGGAACTGCAAACGAAAGTACACTGAAAAGCCACACACACAGACCAGGTATTGAACTTCAGTAGTAACCATCCCAGCACACACAAACGAAGCTGCGTGCAAACACTATTTAAAAGGGCAACACACACTGCAGCAACATGAAACTATGCCAAGAGGAGGAGGAATACCTCTTCCAAGTGTTCAAGGATAATGGATATCCAAAGAACTGGGTCAGAAGATGCCTACAGGAACAGCATCAGAAAGATTCTACACGCCCTGACACACTCATCACACTACCCTACATCAGGAACACGTCAGAACTCACCACAAGACTCCTATGACTGCTGGGCATCAGAGTGGCACACAAGCCCACATCAACGCTACGACAACTGCTCACCCGAATTAAAGACCCACTCCCCGCCATGGACAGGACCAATGTCATCTACAAAATCCCTTGCAGAGACTGCGAGCAACACTACATCAGACAAACAGGAAGGAAACTAACAACAAGAGTACATGAACACCAACTGGCTACAAAAAGACACGACCAATACTCACTCATCTCAATCCACATGGACAAGGAGAACCACGACTTCGACTGGGACAGGCTAGGCAGAGACAAGCATGAGAATCCCTGGAAGCATGGCACTCCACGAAGCAGGCTATTAATAAACACATTGAACTCGACCCCGTATACATTCCACTACGGAGGAAACCCGAAAGTGAGGCAATCCATCGCAATGGACCCCAGAGTTTAAAAGCCAGGCGGGAAAACACACCGACGCTTCATCAGAGGCTGCACTGAGGATGTTACCAAGCACGGTAACGAAATGTCTGCGGAATAACAAACCAGCTCGGCGAGCCAACCAACCTCAACACCCACAACCTGAGGTACAGATCTACTCCAAAACCTTAGTGTAAAAGGTTGTTCCTCTTTATTCTTGTGAATGTCCTGATGAGTGCAGGATGCAAATCTTGAATCAAATGTCATTTTTTTTCCAGCATTAACATTTCCTGTGTAGCACTCTCTACTCACATCTGCTATTCCCTTAAATCCTATTTCCTTCTGTATCTAACCCTGGAGAAAACAAATCTCCATTTCACTTTCAACTACTCTCAAAATCCCAACCATCTAACCTTTGGCCTTCCATTCACCATATTATTTCTGCAGCTACTAATCTGATTAACTACACTTTCACCTCCACCTTCAGTGCCCCACTCCACAGCTTATTCTTCCTTGCTTCGGTCTTTGCCTTGTTACAGCCCTCACTGACACTTTCCTAAGTCTATTGGTGCAGATTTGAATGGTTGTGGTGGATAACTAATTTAACCATTCACCACCAGTGACATTTATTCCTGCTGTCATGAAAACAACTGATTATTCCTGGATAATCCTGAAATAGAAGAGCAACTATGGTTTGCATTCTCTACTACAAGCCATCTTAAATCCTGATTCCCTGGTGTCCTCCATCTTTACCTCCAAAATGTGTGAGGAGCTCGTAGACTTCTTTGTCATCAATATTAAGACCATCTGATCAGCTCTCTCTGACACCATCTTCCTTTCACTATTTCCACTGGGTCTAATGTCCTTTAAGGACCCTCTTCACCCATTGTTATACTTGTAACTTTCTCTAGTTTCTCACCTATCTCCCCTTATGCCTTTTCTGAGCTCTGCTTGTGAATAAAACTTTCCTGCTTTCTCTACCCTATTCCCATTAAACTACTAAACACCGAACTTCCTATCCTGTATCCCATGTTAGCTAATGTTGTTAGCGATTCTCTCGTTCTCACATCTGCTGTCATCAGCCCTTTCAAGAAGTCAACCTTTGACCCCTCTACCCTTACAAACTACCAGACCATCTTCAAACTCAATTCCCTGTAAAACCCTTAAATATTTTATCATCTCCTAAATTTGTGCCCATTGTTTTCAAAACGCCACCCTCCCCACAGTACAAAACAGTTCTTGACAAAGTCACAAATGGCAATCCATGTACTGATAAACTTTCTTGCCCTCCTTCACCTCTGAAGCTTTTCACACAGTTAACCACACCATCCTCCTCCCAACATCTCTCCTCTGTCATCCAACTGGATGGGACTGTATTCAGCTGGAACCATAATTTAGGTAATTTACAGTTGCCAGCGAAGTACCATTAATGTTTCTCTCCCCATTCCTGTGCATCTTTCCTTTACCACCACAACCTATTTGTCACCCACATACTGTCCCTTGGTGACGTAGTCACGATCAGTTTCCTCATGTGCTGGTGACATGTGCTTCTATTTTATTTTCATCATTTGACCCCTCTCTTTGTTAGATTGTTCAACCAGCATTCAAAATTAGATGTGAAGAACTATCCTGCAGATAAACATCGGGATGACTAAAACCACGTCTCTGTCTTCCATTACAATCCTTGTTCCCGAGCCACCAACTCCATTTTTTACTCTAGCTGAACCAAACTACTCGTAGCCTCAGTAACATATTTGATATTGATATGAACTTCCAACCATGTAGATGTACATTACTATGATATCCTGTTTCTACATATGTAACAGTGCTTAACTCTGCCCCTGCATTGACCTTTATTCTGAAACCCTCTTGCATGCCAGTTGCCCCCATATTTGACTCTTGCCATACACTCCTAGCCAGCTTCCCTCATTTTACCTTCTATACATTCGAGGCCATCCAAAACTTTGCTGTCTCTAATCTGACGCACCCATTTACCAATCACCCCTATGTTTACGAAGCTATTCTGACTTCCAACTCAACAGTGCCTCAGTTTTAAAATTCTCATGCTTGTTCTGAAATCCTCTGTGGCCTCCCTACCTGTGTAATCTCCTCCAGCCTTGCCTGCCCTCTTGAGCATCTCCAATTTAAATTACCTACTACTCTTGGCTGTGCCTTCAGCTATCTTAGCCTCATACTCTGGATTCCTTCTTTAAACATCTTCATCTCTTCGCACCTGCTTCTGCCTTTAACATAAATCTGTCTCTTTGGTTATATACGTATATATCAAAATCTTGGTCTCTGCCTTAAGATCTCATTGTGAGACTAGAACATAGAATATTTCGGTACAGTACAGGCCCTTCAGCCCACGATGTTGTGCCGAACTTTTACCCTAATCCTAAGGTCTATCTAACCTCCACCCCTACCTTATACCATCATCCATATGCCTGTCTAATAGCCACTTAAATGCCCCTAATGAGGCCCACTCCACTACCCTCTCCGGCAAGGCATTCCACGCCCCGACCACTCTCTGAGTAAAGAACCTACCTCTGACGTCTCCCCTATATCTACCTCCACTCACTTTAAAACTATGCCCTCTCGTAATAGCTACCTCCACCTAGGAAAAAGTCTCTGGCTGTCCACTCTATCTATACCTCTGATCATTTTGTACACCTCTATCAAGTCACCTCTCATCCTTTGTTGTTCTAAAGAGAAAAGCCCTAGCACTCTCAACCTTTCCTTGTAAGACCTTCCCTCCATTCCAGGCAACATCCTGGTAAATCTCCTCTGCACCTTTTCCAACACTTCCACGTCTTTCCTGTAATGAGGCGACCAGAACTGGACACAATACTCCAGATGTGGCTGAACCAGGCTTTTGTATAGCTGGAACATAACTTCATGGCTCTTGAACTCGATCCCTCTATTAATGAATCCTAACACACCATATGCCTTCTTAACAACTCTATCCACCTGGGTGGCAACTTTCGGGGAACTGTGGACATGAACCCCAAGATCGCTCTGCTCCTCCACACTGCCAAGAATCTTTCCGTTAACCCTGTATTCTGCTTTCAAGTTTGTCCTTCCAAAATGAATCACCTCTCACTTTTCGGGGTTAAACTCCATCTGCCACTTCTCAGCCCAGCTCTGCATTCTATCAATGTCCCTTTGTAACCTAGAACAGCCCTCCGCACTGTCCACAACGTGACCCACCTTCGTATCGTCCGCGAACTTACTAATCCACCCTTCGACTCCTACATCCAAATCATTTACAAAAATCACAAATCGAAGAGGACCCAGAACAGATCCTTGTGGTACACCACTCGTAACTGAGCATCGTGTTGAGTATTTTCCGTCCACTAAAATCCTTTGTCTTCTAAAGGTCAGCCAGTTCTGAATCCAATCTGCCGCAGTTCCCTCTATCCCATGCCTCCTTATCTTCTGCATGAGCCTACCATGGGGAACATTATCAAAAGCCTTACTTAAATCCATGTATACCGCATCCACTGCTCTACCTTCATCCACGTGTTTGGTCACCTCTTCAAAGAATTCAATAAGGTTTGTGAGGCATGATCTACCCCTCACAAATCCATGCTGACTATCACGAATCAAACTGTGCCTTTCCAAGTGATCGTAAATCCTATTTCTCAGGGCCCTTTCCAATAATTTGCCCACCACTGACGTAAGACTAACTGGCCTGTAATTTCCGGGGCTATCCTTATTCCCTTTTTTGAACAAGAGACTATGTTGTGTTTTATAATGTGTCAGTGAAGTGCCTTTAGATACTTTAGTACATTAAAGACACTAAATACAAGTTGTATGATGCAAATTGTTATGGTCAGCTGAAGCTCAACATTCTATTGCTCAAAGTACACAAATTCATGCATAAATCACATCCTGGGAATCTTGAGGATCAAAAGCTTGTCACATGCTTCACTGTTCTGGAATTTGATATTTAATATGCCAGATTGGTAACAGTATGAATGTTTCAGCACACCATCCCAGAAAGTAGTACGACAAAATTTACCATAGGCCGAATTTGACTATTTACAGTAGTTGAGATACTGCTATTTTTGCTCACAAGGAAAGCAAAAGTTCTAAGGAAAATTAACCAAACTGATTTTCATGCATCTCTAACTGATCAGATATAGGTTGGTATTGTATGCCACAATGAACACATCAACTTTTGTTCTCCTGTATTGTTTATGTAAATTTTTACTTCAATTTTCTGATGGTTATCTGTTGGCATATGATTTTTTTTTCTTATGCATTTCTTTCAAATGTATTGTGTGTATTTTAGATAATCAGATGTTTCAATACTTCATCACAATTGTGCCAACAAAACTTAATACCTACAAGTTCTCAGCAGACACTCATCAGTATTCAGTCACAGAAAGGGTAAGTCAAACGATAAAGTTGTTTGATTATCACAGTATTCAGATATGCCACTTAAGCTGGACCATACATGTTTCAACCACTTTGCAATCACTACATTGTGAATGTTTCCTATTTTTCCTGTTTATGGCATGAGTTCATTTTGTTGAGGTATATACTTAATTATTATTGTGCAGTTGACATTATTACATGAAGAACAAATGTGAGAGCAGTATTTTAATGGAACTTAAAATAATAGGATTAAGATTTTGCCAGCTCCTTTTAAGAGACAAACTGCTATTAAATTGTCTAATGGGAATTTCAATGCTGGGATGATCAATAATCACCTGTTACAAAAAGAGAAGTTGCTGGAAAAGCTCAGCAGGTCGAGCAGCATCTGTGAAGAAAAAAATCAGAGTTAACTTTTCGGGAACGGTGACCCTTCCTCACAACAGTTCTGGGCCAGAAATGTTAACTCTGATTTTTGTTCTTCACAGATGCTGCCAGACTTGCTGGGCTTTTCCAGCAACTTCTGTTTTTGTTCCTGATTTACAGCAGTTCTTTCAATTTTTATCACTTGTTACATTTGGTTATAATGCATACTTCGTTTTTTTTTTGAGAATTCTAATATCAATAGCTCCACTGATTTATTACGGTGCTCTGTCATCTCGCCAGTGGTATTGTGAAGCCTTTCTACTTCCTTGCAAATTTACTGAGGCTCCCTTTCTGAAACGCACGTTTATTTTACTTCGGCTTGAACTGGAAGAGGTTTGCTGTTACTCTGCAATTCCCCACATATTTCAGTTTTCTTCTCCATCTCCTCAGTGACTGAAATCTGTGGTGTGTTTCTAGCTGTACTAAGGCTCCCTCTGCTTTTCTTATTATGTTTTTAATAGCATTACTGTTGTGGTGACAAAACATACCTTTCCTTTGTAAAACAACAAAACTAAAACACTTTTTAAATAAAAGAACTGTTGATGCTGGAAATCTGAAACAAAAGCAGAAATTGCTAGATAAACTCGGCAAGTTTGGCAGTGTCCACAGATGCAGAGGCAGAAAGCCGAGTTGTTTCAGATTCAGTGACCCTTCCTCAGAAGGGTCCTCCGACAACACCATCAAAATCTGTGACCTCTACCACCTGGAAAGATGATAACAGCGTTTATAAGGGAGCACTGCCGCCTGTAAGTCCTCCTCTATGCTACATCCCAATCCCAACTTGGAACCTTAAGACTGCTTCTTCACTGGAACAATTTCCTGAAACTCCCTTCGGAAATCCTGTACATATGTAAGCATCTGAAGGCTGTAGAAGTTCAGAGATAATTTTTTTAATATTGAAGGAGTTAAGGATTATGGTCAGAGGTTGGGTAAGTGGAACTTAGGCCAAGAAAAGATCAGCCATGATCTTATTGAATGTGGAGCAGGCTTGAAGGGCCAGATGGCCTACTCCTGCTCCTTGTACTTATGTTCAAGCAGGTGGCTCACCACCACCTTCTCTGGGACAATAAATGCACATATGCATAAATTCATCAATAATGCCTGTATGCCATGAAGGAATAAAGAAAATCTTCTATCTCTACACTGTCTTCCCACCCTATAGTGTATGCTGTGCTTCCCTTAATAGTCAAAAATCGATCAATCTGCATATTGACTATGCTCAGTGACTGAGTGCACTCAGTGCTCCGAGATAACAAATTCTAAGGAGTTGCAACTTTGAATAAAGAACTTTCTTTTCATCTCACTGTTAGTCGGCTGATTCCTCAGTCTGAGACTGTGACCCTCAGTTCTAGACTCTGCAGCAAGGGGGAACCACTCCCAACATCTACTGTCACAAGCCGTTTAGAAATATTCATTGTATCAAAGAGATCATCTCCTCCTAAATTCCAGAAATTATAGGCCTAATCTCTTGTCCTCTTGTCACAGAATAATCCCCATGTTGTTGTCATTTAATATGATCTGAAGGAATATCTGGGACCGAATTGAATGAGGGAATAAGTGATTGATCAAGAGTTAATTGGGGTAGGAGTTGGTTGTACAACTATGGGGAGCTAGTGGTATGAGTTTTATGTAGTGTGGCTAACTGAAATAAAGTCTGACACATGTGTTATCTTGACTTCTGTTTAAATAATTATCTTTTGGAGTATAACATTTGTCCCAGTAATCAGCTTTTCTAACTTCAGTCTTTTGAGCACTAATATATTCTACATTGGGTAAATAGATCATATCTGTAGGCATCATTATAGGCGTAGTCTCAACAAACCCATATAAAATTACAGTAAGGCTTCTTTGAATTAGAATCTTTGTAGTAAAGACTAACATACCATTTGTGTTCCTAATTGCTTGCTATTCCGCAGTGTTGACTTCCTATGATTCCTGTACAAGAACACCCTGGACCCTCTGAATACCAATATTCCCATCCTCATGCCATTTTAGAAGAAAAAGTTCTGCTTCATTATTTTTTCTACCTTAAGTAATAACCACGTACTTCTCCACGTTATATTTTGTATCTCATCTTACCCAGTGACTTAACTGTGTAAAATCTTTTGTGTCCTCCTTGCACGCTTCTTCCAGCTTACTTTTCCACCTAACTTCATATGATCAGACTTGGATGCATAGGGCTAAATCTTCAGAGGAATGGTGACTGCAGTCACATCGCCATTTGCTTAATTCATTCCTAAGGTTCCTGCCCCAGAGCTTCAGCTTTCTGGCCTGAACATCTGATTTGGCCCTCTTGAGGAATGTTGAGCAAATCACGATCAGGAGGCCAAATTATGCGCCCTTACTTACAGCAGTAACTGTCATATTCCAAGGTTTAAAGATCCCAAAAGGACTTTTACAAGCTACAGAGAAAAAGGTCAACGTACAAGGTGAATGGGTGAGGGACTAGAGTAGCAGGTGAGAGGACAGATTTTGGTTGGGTTCTGTGCCAGGCCTGGGAGAATTTCAGAACCCAGAAGTTTTCCACATCGAATGTTCTGTCAGGAGTATTAACTAGTTGTGCTGTGGTAACTTTTGATTTAGATTGTGCTTTCTCTAAAACGTGGAGAAGACTGAGAGCCAGCAATTCTCTGAGAGCTGTTAACTCTGGCAGATGGCAATTTGCTCTCCTTTCTTTGCCCAACTGCCCTTTCTTTTATACCCTTGATAACATGTCAATATTTCTTACAATAGGATTTGTCCTATGTTGTCAAAAACCATCAGATTTAAATTTGATAGGTTTTTGATAGCTAAGTGCCTGGTTCAAATCGGCTAAATTCAAAAACCTGTTGTCTTGGTAAAACTGCTTGACCTGCTAATGTTACGGCCTTTCGATGCAATTGTTTCAGTTCGGGTGCTCTCTGTACTTGCAAACTTTCAAGCTGCTTACAGATATCTCCAAGCATAGAAAAAGCACAGTCTTTTAAAGGGACCATGCAATGGTTTCCACCCCAGCATTTTACAAACCCCAAATTCTAACATCCTGCCTCCTAATCCACAAATACTGTACCAAACTTTGCAACACCAATAACACTCTGGTACCTCATTCAGTTGGTGAACATTTATCTGAGAGCCTTGACTGTGACTGTTGCTGTTACGACCATTAGGACCAATGCTGCCTGATTATTAGACAATAGTTAGGAATAGTTAAGAATGGCAGTTCTGGCTGATTTTCCTCTGATTAACTGCAATTAGATGTGCCCTAACATAATTCTCAGATCAGTATTTTTCAGCCATAATTCTGAGAGGAAACTGAAGGTGGCAAAGTTGAATACTTAACAGAAGGTTTCTGTGTCCATAATCTGAAATAACCAGAATGGGAAAGAAAGTTTAAATGTATTTTTGTATATCACTACATTGTATGAATTCATTGTGAGCTTTTCTGTTTCCTAGGAACGTGTAATAAACCATGCAACAGGCAGCCATGGTGTTTCAGGTATTTTTATAAAATACGACATCAGTTCCTTGATGGTTACTGTGACTGAGCAGCACATGCCTTTAGGACAATTCTTAGTGAGGTTATGTGGAATTATTGGAGGAATATTCTCAACAACAGGCAAGTACTGTAGCTTTTGTCATATAAGCACAAGGAATGTTGACTGCAGTTGGGGTCTTTTGCTGTAATATTTTCATGAAATTATAGAAAAAGTGTTTTAAATATTCAAGACTAGGGACATAATAGACACATAGAGACATGAAATTGGCTCACTTCAGTTAATTCAATTTGGATAATAGCAGATTTTGTGAACATCTTTATTCCCCACCACAGGTGCAAAGGATGAGATGGCAGCTCATCCATTCAATGCACCAAAAAGTACTGTGTCTGCAGTCTACAAGATGTACTGCAGGCACTCGCCCAGGTGGCTTTCCCAGCACCTGCTGTGACCTCTACTGGCTAAAACGTCAAATAATTAACGGGGCATATTATTAAGGCAATTGGAGAAAGCTTCAAAAAGGACATGAATAGCAACTGTTTTACAGAGCGGTTCTTGTAGGAAATGACCTGCCGGAGGAAGTGGTGAATGCTGTTACAGCTACAACATTTAAAAGGCATTTGGATAAGTACATGAATAGGAAAGGTTTGGAAGGGTATGGGCCAAGTGTAGGAAAGTGGAACTAGTTTAGTTTGGGAATATGATTGGTGTGGACTAGTTGGACTGCGCCATGCTCTATGTTCCATGCTCTATGTTCCATGCTCTATGTTCCATG